TGTTTGTATTACGGAAACAAGTGAGCACACTGCAGGATTGAGAAAGTTAGCATGAATGATATTCTTGTTGCCCGGGCGCTTTGACAACTGTAACTGGGAAAGTGCCTGTGCTGCGGGAGTACAGTTGTCTCTCCACACACTCGCATAGAATGACGACTCGTTGGGAACAACCTAGACGGCCAGATGTCTTCAGATTGGCAATGAGAAGGCCTGGGTTAATAGCGTTGAAGGGCTATGACATCCGCGCACTCACGGAAAAAAAAGTTTTAACAGAAAAGAGCCTCAGCTAAAAGAGCCTGAGCCTGAGTTAGTTGATAAGTTTTTGTCATAATGAAGATTAGGCACGCCAGCACGGACACAAGAGAGAAAGAGAAAACAAAAACCATCTGTCGAGTGAAAGGGCGCGCTGCTCCGTGAAAGATGGTAGAACTGAAACTTGCACACGCGCACGTGTCGCACCGCCAACAGGTAGGTCTATCGCACCTGCGCATGCGCAGGTAAGTTTCGTGCCTACATCATTTTTCGCCGCAGAGAGGCCTTTCGTGTGACAGTCGGTATTTGTGTTGTGTCGCTGTCTTATAACCGTGTTTCCATACCTTATCTTTTGAGGCGGGGGGGGGGGTAGAAAAGAACATTTGTATTTATTTAGACACAAATAATTGACACCTGATAATGCATTACTGGCGATACTGATGAAATGTTTCATCAAAGCTGGTTGTCCACAGTCCTTGCTTCAAATTTCGAGCGGTAGCGATAGCAGTAGTTAGAGAGCTGTCAGATCTGATAATGTCGCTGCTGTCACAGCTGCATCAGCTGGCTATTATTGCTATTATTATTATCAGCAGCAGCAGCAACAGCCTGACGACGCCTATACTGCATAGAAAAGGCCTTTCAGTGGTCTGCCAATACATTCGGTCCTTGGCTTCCTGCTGCAACGTTATACCTGCAAACTTCTTAACCTGATCTGCATACGCGCTACGTGCCCGGCTCATCTCCATTTCATCTTCTTGGTTTCCACTATGATGCCCTTAACAACCGTTTGTTACCTGAACCACTCTGCTGCGTTCCTGTCTCATGAGGCTACACCGATAATTTTCACCAGTCGGAGGGCCACCGTTCTGTGGGGCCACCGTGAATCTAATGATAGTCAACCAAAGTCCACTAGTGGATTGAGTAAGTGCACGTGCATTGCATATCACCTATTGGGATCCTTTGCGTTTCGAAGCATTCTTTCTATGCGTGCACTAAAACGTGAGCCGTTATAAGTAAAACTTTAAAATAAGGTTCACTTTGCGCGCACATTAAGCGATGCCCACCTGCATGTCTTCTCAACTTGCTGAGAAGGCTTCGCCAAATGTAGCTCCTCCGCAATAAGAAGCACGGCGAGGAGAAGTTTGCTTTACAAAACAATTGAATAAGTGGTTCGATATTATAGTTCGAAGAAGTTTGTTCAAACCTTGCATTTCGGAATATATAAAAAAATGACGCTTTTATTAAAAAAGACACCTCTAAGTGAGTACGTGTGTGTTTGTTCGCATGTGTGTCCATGTGTCTTAAGAGCATTTGTTGATGGGCTAGCTGTTACATTGTAATGAGGAAAACTCAAAACGCCTAAAACATGGCACAGAGGTGTGCTTCTTCGTTCTTCTTGTCATGTTTCAGGTATCTAGAATTTTTTTCTCAATATGGGCATGTGTGTTCATGCGGCAACTTCACTCGGTAGCAATTTGCATTTGGTTGACTCGATGCTTGAATTTTGGCAAATGCCGGGAGGAGCGTGCTGCAGAAACATAAACGTTGCTTGATATTAAACTAGTAGCAGTTTGGTACGTAATCGTTGATATTGAGTTTAATCAAAAAGCGTATAATTGGGCTCAACGCGTTTAGTTATGAGCATTCATTGGCAATAAGCCACGCGTTAACATAGCAGTACCGCTTGTTGGATCTAAATAACCCTTATGATGAACGTATGCTGGACCGCTTTCAACATTGAAAAATTAAAAATATGACAGACTGAGTTTGTAAGGGAAATATGCATAATTAGATATTTGAGGTAGATCCAGTGCTTCGAGATATAGCTGTGAGGTCGGCTCCCTTGCCACACTGGTAGTGTGTTCCTGAATGCTACGCTTCGCCGTATTGAAGTGTGTGCGGTGAAAACTACTTTCTGTGCGCCTTTCGCTCAAGGAAGTTTACCAGGGATTTCTGCGTCCTTTATTTCCACTGAATAACCGTAATTTCTCAAACGTACGCAGGCACTACTTTCCTATCTCATGTATTGCTATCCGAAAATACCCGTTCGTTGGCTGTATATCACGTTAAATTGAGTCATTTATTATGGCGATACTTGTATAAGTTGACAACTTTTCACTTTATCACGCGGAGTGACAGACCGTAAACGCATCACTTCATTCGCAACGTAGATTGAGCTTGGAGCTACCGCACCTCCTCGGCCATTGGCAAGGCAGTGCCTGTGAGATGCGCAGTACGAAAGCGCTGCTGCTATTTCTGAGGGCTGCGCCTCTGTGCGAAACTTCACAAATAATCATCTTGTGTATGTATGTGGCGTGAATATGCGTAATATTTGTGTACATTCGATCATTGCGTGTGACGTAGTGAACACCCCACACTTGGAGTAGCAGGGCAGTCTATGAACTAGGCTAATATTTCCGGGGAAGTCATTAAAAAACTTGTCTGTCTGTCTCACTTTTGTACAATACCAATACTCTAACAACAACAACAACAACAACAACAACAACAACAACAACAACAACAACAACAACAACAACAACAACAACAGCAACAACAACAACAACAACAACAACAACAACAACAACAACAACAACAACAACAACAGCAGCAGCAGCAACGACGACGACGACGACGACAACAACGACAACAACAACAACAACAGATATATCTTACTACTTTCTGTGAACTCGCCTCCGTCTACCAATACAAGCACAATTGCAAGGTACCCACTATGCCATGAATTGTAATCTTTATCCACTTGGGTAGCACGCACTACGCCATTATTCGTCGTTATGTGAAGAAGAGAGGTACCCGCCATAAATCTACATGGCATTATGGGCAGTTTATTAATACGATGGCTGATAACGATGAAGAATTACGGCTCAGTCTTTTGTATTGGGCTAGAAGCATCCAGCGACTCACTGGTTAGTCAATCAGTGTTGTGTGACGCCATGGTTGTGATTTTACTCTTCTACGACGCTATATTGCTTATGGTAACGTCGTTCTTTCCGGACATGAAGTCTGTATGGGTCTTTTTGTGATGTAGTTTTAAGCGCAAACCTCATTTGTAATAAATATCATTTAAGAGAGGAAAATAAAGCAAGCATAACCCTGTGGTTGAACACAGGGCTCCCACGGAGAGGACAAAGGTTTTAACACCGTTCCAGGCTGTAACTTTTTATTTAGTTCATTTTTTCTTTTTTTGTGCTATAGCGGTTACGTGCATCAGTGGCTCTGGCAGGCAACTACGGCACCAGAAAGAGCCATTGTTGTAACCACACAAAACTATTGTTTTAAAGGCACAAAATGTAAGAGTGAATAGAATTCTGTTCTGTACAAAATTTCTTCCCACAATGAGCATTCTCGTCTTCTATTGGTCGACATAAACACTGTACCTGATCACCTAACATCCGTTACCTATTAAATGGGCCCCGTTCCGTCACTCTACTGCCGTCGTCACTGTTGTTCGTTTTGGGCAGAACTGCGTGTATGCGCAGACGTAATTGGACCTGTATATGTTCCTTCCTTCGGTGCTTGTCTCTCCCCTGATAATACTAACCGGTATTAAGATATTGGTAACAGGTAGTTATTCTAAGGAAGGAAGGTACATGAGAGAACGAAAAGGCAGCGTTGTTAACCAGTCTAGAGGGTCGGTATGCTACCCTGCACTGGCGACAGGGATGAGGGAGTTCTGAGGACGAAGATAGAAAAAAGAGAGGACAGCATGCTCGCATAAAGTCACACACTTCACAGTCTTTATAACCAGATCAGTCTATAACCACCTGTGCAAGCCACTTGAAGAAGTTCCTTTAAAAATCAAGAAACAGCTGATTAGATAAATGCATCAGGAAAATAAGAAACAGTTAAGACGAGTTCATACCGTATGGTGAGTGGCGCTCATTTTTCATTTTATTACAAAAAAAAAAAACTTGTCTTACAAGTTTCGCGCAACTTGACACTAAAAATGTAAATTCAGGCTACGTCGGATGCACACGCTTAGTAAAGGCAAAAAAAAGTAAGACGTCAATGTCAAAAAATAAAAGAAAACTAGCTATCTGGACGTGTGCACCCGTACGCTTCTATTTACCTGTAATTCGTGCACATTTTATTGGGACGTTTTGTACGCCCGTCTAGAACAAGTCGAGAAGGCCGTAAACAGGTTGTATCAGTAAGTATATCTTCTTATTCGACTTTTTTTGCTCCTTGTACTGACGTGCGAAGTCAACTTTTGTATGTATGTGTTAGTATCGCGGAATCGAAGAAAGGGGAGGGCCGCTATTTCTGTCACGCCCTGGCATGATACCTCACCGGAGAAACTAAATCGAATAAGGGAAAACAATAAAAAGAAAAGAGTCGGACGGGTCAAGCACTTCTTGGGCCACTTCTGTCGCCCACCGGACAGGTTTTGTGCCGAGACGTGAGGTCTATATTGAATACCTGCCTTGCCTTGTCTGCGGAGTGTTGTACGCCTGCCAAGGTTAGAAAATAACAACCAGATACAATGGGCGTGCCCTCGTTTAAGGCGCCACTGGCGCCTGTATACCGAGCTGCTTCGAGGATCTTGACCCCTTCTCGATCTAGGGAATGCACCCCCAAGCTAAATAAATTATAAATAAATAAATAAATAAATAAATAAATAAATAAATGTGATGAGCAATAAAAATGTGAGCTTGTGCTGTAAACTGAAAAAAAACGCAATTAAGAAATTTATGGAGAGGAGCTTCGGGCGTAGTTGACACCGCTTTCTGTCAGAGAAACTGAGGAAATAAAAAAAAAGTATCAAACTTTACAGCTACAAGTTGTAAAAAAAAACAACTTATGCGGTGACGCGATAGTTATATTTTGTAAATGAATTAAAGAGACGTTTATGGTAACATTTATGAGTCTTTGATTTGAAAGATGTCCAACGGTGCCCGTTTTTAATGTAACTTTTAAACTTCTTCACGGCAGATTTCACAGCGTGCGAATATAAAAGAAAAGACAGGATAAAAATAACCCGTCTTCATCTTCCTTCTTTTTCTCTCTGGGTTCCTTATAGACACTTTAAAAAACACTTTTTTTTAGTTATCCACTTTTCATTTACTTTTTTTCGCCTTTCTTCTGCCACTGTATTCATGGTCAAGGATTGGAATATTTTCGACAGTAACTAGCTCTTTTCTGTCTGATGCACCAAGATGTCGATTTGAGAACTAAAGCAAAATATGACAAGTATATGTGATTCATCGGATTCAACGTGTCCTGGCCTTCACAAGACGTTACACCTGTCTCAGCTGTGATCACTGTAAAGTGCCGGAAACACTCGAACACATATCTCGCAACTGCCCAGCGTACGCTCGTGTACAACAAATACCTATTTCCTCTGCTGAATGATTTTCTTGCGATAGCCGTTATATGGACACTATGGGGGGTTGCCATTGTCGTCACCGTCATGCCCCGTATAAGGTCCATATTGGGTGTTGCCATTGTCGTCGCCATCATGCCCCATATAAGGTCCATATTGGGTGTTGCCATTATCGTCGCCGTCATGCCCCGTATAAGGTCCATATTGGGCGTTGCCATTGTCGTCGCCGTCATGCCCCGTATAAGGTCCATATTGGGTGTTGCCATTGTCGTCGCCGTCATACCCTGTATAAGGTCCATATTGGGTGTTGCCATTGTCGTCGCCGTCATGCCCCGTATAAGGTCCATATTGGGTGTTGCCATTGTCGTCGCCGTCATGCCCCGTATAAGGTCCATATTGGGTGTTGCCATTGTCGTCGCCGTCATACCCTGTATAAGGTCCATATTGGGTGTTGCCATTGTCGTCGCCGTCATGCCCCGTATAAGGTCCATATTGGGTGTTGCCATTGTCGTCGCCGTCATGCCCCGTATAAGGTCCATATTGGGTGTTGCCATTGTCGTCGCCTTCACGCCCCATATAAGGTCCATATTGGGTGTTGCCGTTGTCGTCGCCGTCATGCCCCGTATAAGGTCCATATTGGGTGTTGCCGTTGTCGTCGCCGTCATGCCCCGTATAAGGTCCATATTGGGTGTTGCCATTGTCGTCGCCGTCATGCCCCGTATAAGGTCCATATGGGTAACATTGCCCCATGCATCGTGCATTCTACGTGCTAGTAAAGGCGCACGCGCATTGGGGACATGCTCTGTAGAATCATATATAAAATGGCTAGTCGTATCGGTCACACGAATGGCATATAACGTTATACCTTGTGTGAGGCCTAACGTCGACGGACGGTCAAGTAGAGAGGATACTGCCCGTACCTCCTTCGACCGGCGAAGGAGAGTGAAAAGGTGCCACTGGGGAGGGCATGAAGGAATGACAGGTTCACCCGAACGGCGAAACTGCGATTTTGGATAATAAGCTATATGTTCTTTTGTTAGGTCTTTGGTTTGACGCCAAGAGCGCACACCTGGTCGTGAGAGCGGTCATCGCTTTCCCAAAAGCCACTGGACCGGATGCACGCCTATAGGATTGCAGAGTAGTATGCTAGAGCGTACTACCGCTCAGGCCGACCTGTCTATAGATTTCTATAAATAAATCTCGCTCAATCTTCAATTGAGAAGGCCGCCTAAATGCCCGTTAACCACGACCATCCCATGAGCACGTTCAGCCTTAACCCAAGCTCCTTCACGTGGCTTTAATAACAATAATCTCGAGTAGTTCAGTGTGACTTGTTTTCCTCTTCCTCCTCTTTCTCTTTGTGTCACGACTCCAGTAAGAAAAAAGTAATAACGAAGGAGCTCAGGAACTTGCGCAAGCTCAGAGCCGATCGGCTGTCGGCTGACCCGAATGAAAGCAGAAAATGGAGGCTGCGTACACTTGACACCGCGCGTGCCCGATGGGCCCTTAAAATAGCGTCCCATCTCGCGCACACTAGACGCTGGCTGCGGCACGGCGACCTAGTTATGCACGCAGCTCCCCACGTTGACAAAACAGGTCACGGCTTTTCTGCAGTGATCCAGAATGCGAGAACTTGCCAGCCCACTGCCATATATCCACGCGCCGACATCAATCCGCTCCCAATTCTCGGGAGCAAGCGCAGCGTGCGACATATATGTATATATACTCGTCTTCAGCCCCTCTCTCTTTTCGCAAGCGCTGCCTCGGACAAATGCAAAAGAACAATTGAAACGCAACGTAGCATTCTTAAAAGGATACTTCACGCAATAATTATTTTACCCTTATTAGCAAGTAATTCTCTTTCAGAATTTTAAAAATTAGCATTGCCTTAGCTCGGCTATGTCATCTAGCGTGAGCTACGGATGGATGGATGGATGGATGGATGGATGGATGGATGGATGGATGGATGGATGGATGGATGGATGGATGGATGGATCGATCAATCGATCTGTGGATGGATGGATCCATCAGATGGATCCATTCATTTGATGGATGGATGGATGGATGGATGGATGGATGGATGGATGGATGGATGGATGGATGGATGGATGGATGGATGGATGGATGGATGGATGGATGGATGGACGGACGGACGGACGGACGGACAAGCGAGTGAGTTCACGCGAGTTAAGAGCCAGCCCATGAACACCTTCAGCATTAGCCCAAGCTAGTGACACGTCACTACTAGTGACGACTAGGGACACGTTAATCCATGAGCACCCAGACGAAATCTAAGGTGCCTCACAAAACACGAATTTTGACCGACGTACAGCGTCGGTGTAATCAATTCTAGTGACGCAAGAAATCACCTCTAGATGACCTCATGATATGGCGTCATCATAACGTCCCAAATAAAAGGTTGTGACGTCACATTTTGGCGTCACCACACGGCACCATTGCTTGGTTAGAGGTGGGACGGAGGCTTTGCGAAATGGTGCACCAAGCCCTCAGTGGACAGCGGGGCAAGATGCATGAACACATCGACTGAGAATAAAAAGGCGACGGCTATCGCCTCGGAGTCGCCTTAGGCGATTGCGTAAGTGACCCTGTGACCTTTTTTGTGGAGGTAGCGACGTTGTCTGGATGCAACTGAGAGATGACAAGTAGCACGCAAGACTCGCACTTGCGCATATCTTGCAGATTCCGAGAGATTTGACCGAGACTTTTTAGTCCTAACTACAGACCAGAAGGTCGCGGGATCGAATCTCGACCATGTTGGCCGCATTTTCGATGGAGGCAGAATGCCAGAGGCCAGTGCGCTTATATCTGGAGGCATGTTAACATAATGTGGTCGAAATTGCCACAGTCCTCCGCTACGACGTCTCTCATTATGATATCTTGGTTTCGAACTTGAAAAAAAAACACAATTATTATTATATCCTTAGTGCCGATGCCCTTGAGCAATCTGATTAAGGGCAAGAGCCATATAAAGACGTCTATTGGTGAGCACCTTGTAGGCAGCTCGTCCTTTAAGACTTGTTCGCCTCCGCTTCAGACTACACTTGTAATGATTCCTAACCGACAGTGCGACTCCGCACCAGGCAGTACGAACGGGGGTATAGAAGCCAAGCCGCGTTGGCGACGCCGTCTGCGGCAGCCGTTTAGCGTCGCCAACGAGGAGGTGGTAACAACAGCACGATCACGCACGGCACCTGTGCGGCGGCGGCCTCCAAAGGCACCGTGTCTCGTTTCGAGAAGGCACGGCTCGGAACCTGTTTGTTTTGCCGGCTTTTCTTGCCGCCACTCGTGGCTCCTTGATGGCCGAGCATGAATAGAAGATGGTAGCGACGGGAAAAAAAACGAAAATGGACAAACAATATGATGCGGTGGCCGGGAGAACAGAGGGGCGCAGCCAGGATGGTGAGTATAGCTGCCGCAACGGCTACAACTATGGCCTCGACGCAAGGCATGCCATCCAGATGGCTGAAGGGAAAGCGGCATGTTTCTTCTCCGGTTGGCGTCTATGAAATATTGTTAGAACGCCCCCCACCCGTGCCTCTTCACGCGACACACCCAGTCTCTGAACGGCCGACGCCGGACGATGTTATCTTTCTGTTCAGTTTTCTAGATATCGTTATCTGTGAGAAGAAAGGGGTTAGCATCTGCATGGTGCCTAATGTAATTGGTCGTGTACAGCGGAACTGTGATTCATGGTTCTTATTTTTTTTTCTAATCCTCGTACTTTCCGCTTACTAATGAGCCAATTTCCCGGTCTGTGACAGATGTGCACGGGGGCTCGGTTACTTAAGAGACATCGGGGACCAAAGAACACTGAGTAATAAGGGGCGTGCGTTGAATTAAAATCTGTTTTTGTTTCCTCGGCGGGAAATTCCCTGTGGATGATGCGTGCGGTTGTGAAAAACGCAAGGAGGTGCTTCAGCTTTGTGCAACACTGTGAATGCGATCTCTGAACGTGATAATTACACCGTGAGATTTATTATTTTTGTTATTCACTTATTATTCATTCATTTGTTTATTTGTTGATCTGTTTTCATTACTTGGCAGCACCTGTAACGTCATTGTCATAAGGGGGTGCATTTGAAAACAAATCACAAAGAGACCATGTTAATAAATGGGGCAATCTGTAAAGCTACATGTCATCTCATGTCATCGCTTCATGCTTTCGACAGCTGAAGACAGCTGAGCACTTGCTTGCCAACATTTCTAAAATACCAATAACCATTCAGGTCAAAGTGCACGGGACTGAGAGAAATACTGACAGGGTAAACAAAGAGGCACCTGCCAAGACACATTAAAGATAATTTTCATCAGAATGCTCCACGGAAACGTACATCTGTATGCAACTCATTCAGGGCAAATGTGACCGTCCGGATCTTACCGTCTTTTTGGAGTATGATGCGCTGTTTGTCGCTCAGATCGATGTTTCATTTATTACCAGTTTGCAACCAATAATAGCTTTCATATAATTCCCGATCCGTCAGTCGTATGTATATGCATATGTGATTCACCATGACACTAAATAAAGTTTTTTCATTCCATTCCATTCCATTCCATTCACCATGACACTGCACCTATTAAAATTTCCGTCGTCCAAGATACGGAGCATGGTTTTTAGAATATGAGTGCACTTAGTTGTGTCATTTTCTTATATCTGTACGCGTTAAGTGTTATAATGTACCCTCTTTTCTGACTACTAATGCACAAAATCTGTGTTTATGCTCCCATATCAAACACTGCAGTGTCCCCACCATCTTGTTCTCTTGATCTCTTTTGTTTATTTGCTTTGCAACTGATATTCGCATATAACCTAACCCATTTTTGAAGCTTTGTTGTAATCTTTATTTTGTATAAGCTCTCTCCTAGTTGTACGCAGTGTGATTGTGTTCTTATGTTTATTTTTCTTCTTTCGCCAATGCAGTCGCTTTGTGTGAAGAATGTACTATGTGGTACTAGAAGCCTAGTCAGCTGACTCACAATGTCGCCTTTCGTCTCCTGCAACACGGCAATCATGTATTGTCAAATAAACAAACAAATAAATAAATAAATAAATAAATAAATAAATAAATAAATAAATAAATAAATAAATAAATAATATGCGTGAAACCATGCTTCTTCGCTGCTGTCCGATTTCTCTACATCTAGTCATTCGTCTTTGTTGGCGCATTGTTTCGAAATCAACGAAGAGCAGTTGCCATGGGGTTGTAAGTCCAACTATCGCGTACGGGCGAGAGATAAGTGCACGGAATGTGGTGAGCACTGATGGAGTACATGTTCAACCGCCGCTATACAGCTGTAGCCCCGTCTAAACGCGCACCCGCAACTATTTCCAAACAACTGTGTGAAGTACCTCCTGAGCCGCCACTCACTCACGGCAGAGGTCGGGGCCTCCGCCGTTGGTTCCAGGAGAGTTCAGAAAGGTGCCGGCCCGTGAGCGTCGTTGCTCTACGGTGGCTGACAGGAATCGGGGACAAGTGCGGTAAAGGAAAAGAGAAGAAAAGAAAACGGGCTAGGAGGAAAGCGTAGACGACGCTTGAATGAATGGCACGCGTAGACGTGTCGAGGAATGCACACCGTTGCCTCTGGCTAAAGATGCCGACAAGAAGGACAGCGGAAGGGTCTGTCCCCTTTCGCCGCAAGCTGAACGCATTCCCGGGTAGTCGACGCACGTACGCCCAAGATAACGTTAGCTCTT